TCGCAGGGCTGTTTACAATCGGAAGATGGAAAGACTGATCGGGAGAGGTCGTGAAAACTCGACGATAAGGTACCTGACCCCCCCTAAAATTTTCTCAACGGATTTAGACGATTCACAAAAATGATCAATTTAAGAAATAAAACGACGGACTTCCGCGTATCCACGGAAAATTGCCATCACTGGTGAAAAGAAAAGCCACCAGGTCTGTTACTAGTCTCATTTTATAGCAAATAGTTCTAATTTTGTGATGCATCTTGTTATACTGTATTTTGTTCATATACCTGTACTGTATGCTGCAGTTTTTGGACCATATATTTTTGCATTTTATTGCTTGTGTTGTTAAACATGTATTTTGTTAACATACTTGCATGTTCATAAAGGACATGTACCGTAGTCTTTCCGACAAAAGGGAATTCCGTTATAAGGCAAGATTGGACAATGCGAATATGATTCCTTACTAGAGAATATTTACCGGATTAACAATGACAATCACAATCGCAAACGTTGACTTTCCTCTCTGTGCCCGATTGCCACCAACCTGTTGGTATTTGGAAACAGGGTAGAGAAGTTTGGTGTCCAGCTTGGCGTTGTACTGGGCCAAGGACTCATGTCGGTAATGGTTAATTAGCTCCACCACAGACAGGAAGGTGAGAGGCTCAGAAAAGCCATAGCGGCCATCTCTGTGGTAGATCTTGATAAGTTTGTTGTTCCCACCTCTCCTGTAGTGGGCAGAAATTGAGAAGAAAACAAAACAGCAACTTATTCATATTTATTTTTAGGATTATGGTCACTTGGTGTTTGTTTACAGTCACAAATGCAATTACTATTCATTCCAATTGTGTTTCATCACCTGAGGGTGAGCGTGTACTCGCCCTCGAGTTTGCTTGAGGCATCTCGGACAAGGAAGGTACCATCCGGAGTGTCTCGCAATTTCTCGTTGACCTCCTCCCTGCGAATAAACAAAACAACTCATCGTCAACATTTTCCACTGCAACTGAGGAACTACAAAATATCACGGTCACACTCAATGGCCTAGCAAAAAATGATTTTGTGACAGTGATGTGCGTATTAAAATGAACAAATACGTAAAAAAAGAAAGAAAGCCCTAACAGGAGTCTCCTTTAATTTTAACAGTCATTCCTACCTGGATATTTCTCCCCAGTACCATTCGGCATCGCCGAGAAGGGTGCTTGTGTCCGTCGTAGCTGCTGCGGGTGTCACTTTCGTCTTTGGTGGCTTTGCTGGAAGAACTGTTATCAGGCACAGACTATGAAGGTTATATGAAATTTATGTTGTCATGCTAAAGTCGATGAGCAAAGCATGATTTCTCATCAGAGTTCAGTAAAGCCCCAAGTAACTGAAATCTCCTAACATTATGTAATATGAATTGAAATAGTAACAATCAGAATAATTTTAACACTTGATGTTAAGTTTAGATGTATGTTGGGGTTTCCATTTCAAGAGTTACTAGCAATAGCTACATTTTATATAATTATCCTGAGGCCAAGCGGTACAGAAAATGGAAGGATGGATCGAAAGTCAAATGTTTTCCCTGAGGTTGTAGCGCCCCTTGGAGTCTCCGGCGCACTGATGATTTGCTATACTGCCTAATGTCAATGAATGCAGAACTGCAAACACGCGATTCAAACTACCTGGTGGTGTGAGGTCTTGTTCTGCAGTTCTCTCAATCAGAAGGCGCTCCACTACAAGGGCAGGCAACTCCTCATCCAACGACAACCTGTCAAGCCGTTATTTGACAACTCATCAACAAGAAATGAAAATAGCCCGGTGGCCACAATTAATAACTCCTGACCATTCTCAAACTTACAATGGAGCAGAGGTGGCTGTCCTCATCAGCAGCGGTCCAAAGATCTTGCCAACCGTGTGTGTATCCAAGGCATTGCTGGCCTGCGCCTGCGTTACCTTGGCCAGGTGTGTGAGGAGGTACTGCAGGGTGAGGCGGTGATGGAAAGGGACGGTAGATGAGCTCTCCAGGACCCGGCTTACCTCTCTGTCATGGCTGCCGGCCACTGTACCGTCTGGAGGAGGAATTGACAATATCAATGAAGACGAGCGGAAATGGGTTTGAACATCTGCTAGTTTGTGAGCTTGAATTTAGAGGTGGGGCATTCTAGTCAGATGTCTTGAATTGAGTCAGACTTGAAGGTACAGTGTGTAGAATCTAGTGGCACCTCGTGGTGAACTAATAGAATGCACTGACCTAAGCTCAAACGAAAGCACGCTCGCTCCAGTGCCTCGGAGAGACTGCACTTGGCAAGCTGCCCATCGATTTCTTCAGCTGAGGTGCAAGCAAAATGTCATCCCGAAGGATTTTTGGTATTCCGTCAAGTGACGGAGTAAGTGCAAGACAGTTGTTGGGCCCCATGGTAGTAAATGATGTGGAGGAACCCTTGGCTAAGTGTGTCTCCTTTGGCTATCTATGCCATAAAGAAGGCGGCAGGGGAGGCATTCCCTATGTAATTTAATGAGCCACTATTTCACCTACAATTACATCAAAAAAATTATGTTGATGTGATAGAACATATTTTTTTGCAGATGACTAAAATTAAAAGTGGGCTTTTGAGACAACAGCGAAGAGCGAAAAATCTACACATTTTTACAAGCTGTCCCATTAAGCCGTCGCTTTTGGGACTGGTGAAAGGCTCAACTTTGACGTGGTATTCATGAGACCTGACTTGACTTGAACTACAGCAGCCATCTCGTTACCTCTGCGTCCCGCGTCTTAGACGCATAATTTTCCCGCGGGATGCACAGTTCCAAATAATGTGCGTTTTTGGGACGCAAGGAAATTTCTCAGTCAAAATGAAACAAAACAAAACAAAAAAAACAACGGCAGGCCTGAGGATTTCACGGTAACGATCGTTACCGGTAGCGTGTCGTTTCCGTGGCGTCATTTTGACGGTACCGAAAAATGGTTTCCCATAAAAGTCACTGCACACGAGTTGACTGTACGCGATCGAATCTCTCCTGCGTGATCAACACGATTTCACTGTGCCTGTATGTGTGTTTGTGGTGTGGTGTGTGAGTGTGTTTCTTCTAATTTACTTTCGTTTTGTTTTGTTTTCAGTGTTGGCGGGGCGGAACAGATAACGTTATGTGCGCATGCAGGTTGCTATTTTAGTCCGCAAACTGAGGAATCGCGCGGATGACAGTTTGAGATGGCGGCGAAAAAAACACACAAAGGTCTACTAATTACGACATTTAAGAAATGGGAATGCCAGTCTGATTTTTCGTATGAATCGTCCGAAGGGCGTATCACTAAACTCACCTGTGACGTACGCACAGAACACGAGAGCGAGATACGACGAGAGGCACGATTTCGAGGCAAGTTGGTCATTAGATCTATAGGCTAATCGCTATCAAAAATATGATGAAACAGTCTTGGTTATTCTATAATTTACTGGTTGTAGCATGGTAACATTATGAATAAAACATGTGTCACAAGGTGTAGTAATGCTAATGTTAACTGTTGGTAGAACTAACGATGACGTGTGGTAGATTCTTTCATCAAATTGATAGATTACACATGCATCGTCTAGGGAAGAGGATGTCAAGCCACATCAATACTTAACTGTATTAATGATTACCAGTAAATTAATCTTTGCAGTGTGAGACTGCAAAAAAATACTCAGATTTTGTGGTATGTTGTATTCATGATGCCGTATGAGTACAACATATTTTGATCCATTTATTTTGTTGAATAAACCTGGAGTACACAGCTGCTGATGTTCATTGTTAATCTTGTATGTCTGAATTATTTATTTTTTTGCAGCATTTGTTTATAAGAAATAAACCTATTATCAATGTATATTGTTGTTGTTTGTGATATTATCATATGCAATTGAATAGGTAGATCATTTTAGAATTCAAAATTTGGGACTCTCTAAATGCATAATGGGACTCATACTTTTTTGATCAGCGAGTCCCTGGGACTCGCTGGGGGTAAACTGTAAAATTATCACTGCTACAGGACTTGACAAGTCTCTGTTTACGTTCGAAAATAAGCTTTTTCAAGATGATGTGTCGCGACCAAGTGACGGCTCATTATTTGAAAAGCGCATAAAATGGGCGACTTGCAAGCCCACCGTGAGCTCTGCAAGTAACACATTTGGATTCAAGGATTATGTTTTCGATTCAATCGAGAAAAAAAGAATGGCAACATGCTAGGTTTGTAACTCATAAAAGTCGCAACAACTATGTGATCGAACTTCATTCATTATGATAAAACCCACAGGCAGGTAAGATCAAAGTTTTGGAAACGAGAGCTGATCAAACATGAACTGAGATTCAAGCTAGTAGTTATGTGTTTAACTGAGAAGACACAGTCATGGATAATACAGAGACTGTTTACTTGGTACGATCACTAAAAAATGAATGTGTTGTGTGAGCATCTATGAATGTGTTAGTAATGCAAGATGCTGTATACGGTATGTTGAATGACGTGACTTAACACTTGCTTGAGTCATAACTCGACTTGCTCCACCATGAATGGGGACTTGACTAGCTTGACTTTTACCGCAGCAACTTGGGACTCGCTTGCAGGTCGAGACCTGAGAGGTACTTCTGACTTGCACCTACTCTATATGCCTAATCCCCACCACCGGTATTAGTTATTAGCATCAGCCATCTCGTTACCTCTGCGTCCCGCGTCCTAGACGCATAATATTCCCGCGGAACGCACATTTCCAAATGTGCGTTTTTGCGACGCAAGGAAATTTCTCAGTCAAAGCAAAAGAAAAAAAAACTATGGCAGGCCTGAGGATTTCACGTTAACTGTCGTTACCGGTAGCGTGTCGTTTCCGTGGCGTCATTTTGACGGGACCGAAAAAATCGTTTAACCATAAAAGTCACCGCACACGAGTTGACTGTACGCGATCGAATCTCTCCTGTGTGATCAACGCGATTTCACTGCCTGTATGTGCGTTTGTGGTGTGGTGCGTGAGTGTGTTTCTTCTAATTTACTTTTGTTTTGTTTTCAGTGTTGGGGGCGGGAACAGATAATGTTACGTGCGCATGCGGGTTGCTATTTTCGTCCGCAAACTGAGGAATCGCGCGGATGAAAGTTTGAGATGGCGGCGAAAAAAAACTCATATAGGTCTACTAATTATGACATTTAAAAACTGGGAATGCCAGTCTGATTTTTCGTATGAATCGTCCGAAGGGCATATCACTAAACTCACCTGTGATGTATGCACGAGAGCGAGATATGACGTGAGGCACGATTATGAGGCAAGTTGTTCATTAGGTCTATAGGCTAATCGCTTTGAAAAATATGATGAAACAGTATTGGTTATTCTATAATTTACTGGTTGTAGCATGGTAACTTTAGGAATAAAACATTCGTCACAAGGTGTAGTAATGCTAATGTTAACTATTGGTAGAACTAATAATGACATGTTAAATTCTTTCGTCAAATTGATCGTAGATTGCACATGCATCGTCTTGGGAAGAGGATGTCAAGCCACATCAATACTTACCTGTATTAATGATTACCAGTAAATTCATCTTTGCAATGTGAGACTGGAAAAAATACTCTGATTTTATGGTATGCTGTATTCATGACGCCATATGAGTACATCTTATTTGGATCCATTTATATTTTTGGAATAAACCTGGAGTGCACAGCTGTTGACGTAATGTTGATTGTTAATGCAGTTTTCAACCATTTACCCTTGAAACATGATACTTTTGAGTTTCAGAATACTTGATTATGAATATGAGTCAAAATAGAAAATTGGGTTCCCATGATGAACGTTTACGGAACCCAAAATTAGTTACTGTGGTTTCCCATTGGGTAATCCGACGAAACCGAAAAACAGTTACCGTGAATTTCCGAAATCCTCAGGCCTGCTACTGGATTATTTAAAATTTTGCAGCATTTGTTTATCATTGTATGTGTATGTTGTTGTTTGTGTTATTATCATATGCAATTGAATAAGTAGACCATTTCAGAATTCGAAATTCGGGACTCTCTAAATGCATAATGGGACTCATACTTTTCTGATCAGCGAGTCCCTGGGACTCGCTGGCGGTAAACTGTAAAATTATCACTGTAGCATGCAAGATCATTGTTGCATTCGTGTCAATAAAGTCCCGTGCCATGTGCTTTGCACCTGCTGACTGCTGTCGGACCCGCTGCTGCTGTGTGATAGCAGTTTGGAGATGAGCGTAGGTACAGGCAGGGATGAGAGGTGAGGGAAGGTCTCTCAGGTAGTGCAAGACACACTCTGACAAGATGCCCACATCTGTCTGAGTGATATCACTCTCTGCATAAAAGGACAATCAAGAGTGATAATGTACAGTGCTGTATGTTAAAAAGCACAATGCATGCTCAGAAAGAAAATGTGTTGTTCTACAACATAAGGAATTTGGAGACATATTATCGAAATAAATATCCGTATTCAATACAGTACAACAGGGGTCAGCAACCCAAAATGTTGAAAGAGCCATATTTGACCAAAAAAAACAAAAAATATGTCTGGACCCGCAAAAAATTATATGCCTCATATAAGCCTTACAATGAAGACAACACATGCATATCTATATTAGCTATATTAGCCTACGATCAAAATGACTAAATTGGCTACGAATACACAATGAGCCTTCATGCTTCAATGTTTTTTTTTTCCCTGCAGTGAATCCTGTAGAGTGGGGGTGCCCAAACATTTTTGACGTAAGATCTACTTTTCGATCAACCAACCTCCCGCAATCGACCCATTACCGCACACGCGCGGACACACACGCACTTACACACCCAAGCCATAATGAGCAAAAGACAGAACAGCCACTAAGATGATCGAGGCATGAGACGCACTTTTGCAGCCTGTTAACTATCATAGCTGACATGTACTGTTTAAAAATGCATCCCTCCACACTGCCCCATTCTTTGCCAGTACCCTCTGTGAATTGTATAAGAAATGCTGTTCATTTTTTACAACAAACACGTGCCTTGCATCGCGTCCTGATAATAAAAACGTGTGTTGCAAATGTAATATTTATTCTACACCTTTTTACAGCATTGGAAAACATTAAGAATGTTTTGTTTGTGTCATGTTTGTCCTCTTACAGAAACCATGATAAAACGAAAAATATATTATCTTCTCCCATCTTTTTCCATTTGCAAACATTTTTGAAAAAGCTCCAGGGAACCACTAAGATTAAGATTACGATATCCTTTATTTGTCCCACACTGGGGAAATTTACAGTCTACAGCAGCAAATTTGGGGGCGGCACTAAAGAGCCACATGCGACTCTGGAGCCGCTGGTTGACGACACCCGGTATATAAGAAACAAATAGGCCTGAAATGAGATACCAATTGCGAAAAAGTTAAGTGTAAAACTACAACAAGGGCTCATGTTACTGCAGGCTCATGCATCACTCCCGTGAACAAGTTGGCATGATGGCATTGAGGAGCAAAGTGTATCTTAAAGGGAGAGAATGTTCAAAGTTGGGGCTCATATCGCACTTAAAAAAGGAGCTTCAACAAGTGCAATCTATCTACATCAGGGGTGTGTAAACTCGGTCCTCAAGGGCCGCTGTCCTGTTTTCCTTCTCTCCCTGCTGCAACACAGCTCATTCAAATGATCGGGATCGTTCTGAGGCTTCAGCGAAGCTTGCTGATGAGCCGGTGGATTGAATCAGGTGTGTTGGAGGAGGGAGACATCAAAAACAGGGTGGACAGGCCTCTGGAGGACTGGTCTTGAGGACCCCTATTCTATGTCAAACTGCTTCAAATGCCAGGGAACATAAATGTGCAATTTCACTCCTTGAGGGCCACTATCCTGCCTGCAGGTTTGAGATAGTTTCCCCCCTCCAACACACCGGATTCAAATGATCAGCTCCAACACACACATCAGCTCAAAAGCAAGCTCTGCAGGAGTCTGACCCTGATCATTTGAATCCGGTGTGTTGAAATTTTTGGTCGAAAACCGATTTGGTCGAGAACAGAGACGTTCAAAAACCGAGGTTTGACTGTAATGGGAAACGTGGTTTCGATTTTCGAACACATCGGTTTTCGAACAGCCTTCTGGAATGGATTATGGTCGAAAATCGAGGTTTGACTGTATATGCTTGTGGAGGCTCTCAGTCGTACAGGAAAGTTCCACGGTAGAAAGGGTTCCGTCAGTCGTCATCTGTACTTGTGGGTAAAAAACAAAAAACAAAAAAAGGACGTTTCGCTTCTCTCATAGAAGCTTCGTCAGCAGTAGACAACTCTGAAGTCTCCGTGAAGACTCCGGGAAATTGCTCTGCGCTAAAAGGCTAAGCGTGGCCTATTTGAGGACTGGGTGGGGATGGTCAGTCACGCCCCTATGGTGAAGAGGCCCATGGCTTTCTAAATTCCCTATCGTTGGGTCTTGATTAGGCCTATTGTTTGGGCTAGGGCTGAATAGCTATTTTCAGTTAGCCTGATCAGCATGTCTATGTCCCTTGGTGGTCAACAAGTTATTGTAAATAGGAGACAGGTTAAACCTGATACCTGCTTCACGGTTCAGAGAGGGTGAAAATTTTTTCACAAAAATCGCTTCCTTTACTCCCCTTTCAAACCATCTCTTTTCTGTTCCTAGGATTTTTACTTGTTCATCTTCAATTGTGTGGTATGTTTCTTTTAAGTGTGCGTTTCCTGCACTTTTGTTATCATTGTTTTTCCATTTGTGTTGATAAAGTCTTTTCTTGTGTGTTTGTTTGGTTTCTCCGATGTAATGTTCCTTGCACTCCCTTTCTTGGCAACGGATGGAATAAATCAGATTGCATTTTGCGTAGATGTCAACAAACAGGATGCTTTTTAAAAAAATCTTTATTGAACACGTCCGCTCACATTGGACGCTCTTTTTAAAAAAAAAAATCTTCATTAAACACGTCCGCTCACATTGGACGCTCTTTTTTAAAAAAAATCTTTATTGAACACGTCTGCTCACAATGGAACGCTACATGACGAAGCATCACTTCCTCGTTTACCCAAGGAAGCGTCACTTCCTCGTTTACCCGAGGAAGCGTCACTATCTCGTGTAAGGAACGTGAGAGGAGTCGAGTGGCGCATTCAAGAGCGCTCAGTTTGGTCGAGAACCGATTTTCGGTCGTAATCCGAGGCATAAAAAAAATCGAAATTTTTGGTCGAAAACCGATTTGGTCGAGAACAGAGATGTTCAAAAACCGAGGTTTGACTGTATATAAAAAGACCATGAATCCACGTGCTGCCACAGCCACAATTGTCGCCCACATTGGCTCAGGGTTAGCCAGTTAGCAAACAGACAATAACCTGAGCTCAAAACAGAAACTGTGCGCTCTTATTTGCCGACACCCATGTCACTCACCAGGGCTGGGCCCTACATTTTAAAGCCAAGTACACTCATTATCACAGATGCTGTTTTGCTGTTAAATAATGGAAAACCAATTTTTATTCCAGAAATCAATGATATCATCGGTAAAATAATCTGTTCTAAAAATATTTAATCCTCACAGACGGTGAAAAACTTATAATGTAGAATGACAAACGGTCCATGTTGACTCACCTTGAATAAAAGTGTGCATCGGGATGTCTGAAACGGAGGAATTGGTAGTTGTCCTGTACAGCGATGGAGAAGTGAGACCTCGAGAAAACAAACAAACAAACAAACAAACAAACAAACAAACAAAAACAAGTTTAAAAAAAATATATATATATATATATATATATATGACCATAAGAATACATTTTATGCGCCAGTACTTACCACGGTACTCGGATTAATAGTGCATTCGCCGAATAAGAATGAAAAAGAATAATTCGTCAGTGTAGGGGAGGCGCCATGCTGGGCGAAATCCTTCGCTGCAGATAACAAGTAATGTCAAAGCTAGAGTACTGTGTTGCCTGCTAAGACAGCGCGCCACTGAATGGTGTCAGCTGACCGATTGTACACAGCGATGGTTTGACCCGTTTGACTTTGTGGACACCATGGCTGAGATGGAAACTTGCGGTTCACCTGTTTTCTGGGTTTGCTCACATGACGTTCACAATGACAGCCGAAAGGCAATATGACGTCAATTTTACTCGACAGCAGAGGGCAATGCTGGATATGTCAGAGCCGCCTGAGTTTGCTCAAAACGGCTCAATTCATTTGCTTAATTCTTATTCCAGCAACACAATATTAATCAGAATACAGTACTTACGAAATTAAATAGTTATGGAAGAAATTTCTGAACGAGAAAATTTTGAAAGTAGAGACGCGTTTTCAATGTAAATGCCCTAATCCGTTCCAAGTCTCCCCAAAATTCAGACATAAATGTTTTATAAAAAACAAAAATGCATCAAAATATGTAATAAATACATGTTACAATTCGATTATTGCAAAATAAATGAGAGTTGTGCATAATGTAAAAAAACAAAGAATAGCGTAAAGAATAAAAATGATGGTCATTTAACTTTGAACTGCGGCCTCATCGTTTTTTGCCCTCTTTAGTTCATGTTCTCTCTCAGAATTCATTTTTGCTTGCTGTTTTTTAAAGAACTGATCCAAGGACGTTTGCCTTTGTCGGCTTTTAACAATCCTTCGAAAATGTCCAAGGCAAACATCAGCATAGTGAGCGATCGCCTGACTGGTGAACACTTTTTCTGGGTGATTCACATTTACGTAAAACTATCGGAATACCTCATGGCCGCAGGGGCGGATGTTGCGTTCAGGAAACTCGGAGCTGCGAGTAGCAGCCCATACTGTATTTTTAGCTTTCGTATCCTGAAATTTTTTTTGTAATAAGTGGCAATATTTTTCTGTTGAGGCGTTTCGTGACTTGAAAATTTCATATGAAGAGATGTTCGTAAGTAGAGGTACCACTGTACCGTGTTTAAACTAGTGGGGACACACAAAGACATTATTTCAAGGAACATTTTTGACTTGGTTTCCCCTTTGAGTAAACAGCAGCTGATAAAGAAGATATGTACTTGTACATTTGACATTTTGGGGTTAATTCCAAATCAGAGAGGAAATTTGTAAGTCATAAGGTGGACGAATCCACAGATAACCTGCTTAGAATTGCAGACAGAAAAGACTGTCGCCGAGAAAATAACATGTCAATCATTTAGCTCAGGGGTGTCAAACCCATTTTCGTCGCGGGCCACACTGCAGTAACCATTGCCCTTGGAGGGCCATTATAACTGAAACCATTTAAAAAAGTCAAAATAACAGATTATTCAACTATTGTTTAAGTTACTGTCATGGGGGGTTTGGAACCAAAAAAATGCTGACAATATCTCTCTTATTTATTATACATGAGAATTTGAAATTTTGGTTCATATTTTGGCAAGCATCACAACCCAGCCACTAGGGAGCAGTGCCCTCCCCTGGGGATACACTGTTCCCCAGTGCCGGTCCCAAGCCCGGAAAAATGGGGAGGGTTGCGTCAGGAATGGCATCCAGCGTAAAACTTTTGCCAAAACGAACATGCGAGTTGAGAAAACGATTTCCATACTGGATCGGTCGGGGCCCAGGATAAAAACGACTGCCAACAGTGCTGTTCACCTACAGGGTACTGTTGGAAATTGGACTACTGTTGGTCAAAGAAGAAGACAAAGAAAAGGAGGACGATTGGTACAGAGAAAGAGGGAAAAGAGGAAGGTTAGAAGTATTAGTCTGAGGTTAGGAACTCTGAATGTAGGTACAATGACAGGGAAAGGCAGAGAACTAGCTGACATGATGGAGAGGAGGAGAGTAGATATTCTGTGTGTTCAGGAGACAAGGTGGAAGGGCAGCAAGGCTAGAAACATTGGAGGAGGCTACAAGCTGTTCTACCATGGTGTAGATGGGAAGAGGAATGGAGTAGGGGTGATTATAAAGGAAAAATATGCTAGACATGTAGTAGAAGTAAAACGAGAGTCAGACAGGTTGATGTGCGTGAAGGTAGAGATAGAAGGTGTGATGATGAATGTAGTCAGTGGGTATGCCCCACAGGTGGGCTGTGAGTTAGAAGAAAAGGAAAAGCTCTGGAATGAGATGGATAGAGTGACAGAGAGCATTCCCAGGGGAGAGAGAGTAGTGATTGGAGCAGACTTAAATGGTCATGTAGGGGAAGGTAACAGAGGCGATGAGGAAGTGATGGGCAAGTTTGGACTTAGAGATAGGAACTTGGAAGGACAGGCAGTGGTAGACTTTGCCAAAAGAATGGAAATGGCCGTGGTAAACACCTATTTCCAAAAGAGAGAAGAACACCTGATAACTTACAAGAGTGGAGGCAGGTCCACACAGATAGATTATATCCTATGTAGAAGAGGTAATCTGAGGGAGGTTAACGACTGTAAGGTGGTGCCAGGAGAGAGTGTAGCCAAACAGCATAGGATAGTAGTGTGCAAGCTGACAATGGAGGTGAGGAAAAGGAAGAGGGTGAAGACAGAGAAGAAAATAAAATGGTGGCAATTGAGGAAAGAAGACTGTTGTGAAGAATTTAGGAGTGCGGTAAGGGCAGTTCTGGGCAGCGTTGAGGAATTCCCAGATGATTGGGAGACTACTGCAGCAGTGATTAGGGAGACAGGAAAGAAGGTGCTCGGTGTGGCCTCAGGACAGAGAAAGGTGGACAAAGAGACTTGGTGGTGGAATGTTGAGGTTCAGGAAAGTGTACAGAGGAAGAAATTAGCGAAGAAGCGATGGGATAGTGAGAGAACAGAAGAGAACAGGCTGGAGTACAAGAAGATGACTAGGGAAGTGAAGAGAGAAGTGGCCAAGGCCAAACAGAAGGCATATGAGGAGTTATACGAGAGGTTAGACACAAAGGAAGGTGAAAAAGAATTGTACAGGTTGGCGAGACAGAGAAATCAGGCTGGGAAGGATGTACAGCAGGTGAGGTTGATTAAAGACAGAGAGGGAAATGTCATTGCGAGTGAGGAAAGTGTGTTGAGGAGGTGGAAAGAAGACTTTGAGGAGTTGTTAAATGAGGAAAACAATAGGGAACGTAGCAATGAAGAGCCAGCGAGGATTAAGAAGAAGGTCAATCAGGTTAGAAAGGATGAAGTCAGGAAAGCATGAAAAAGGATGAAGAGTGGTAAGGCGGTTGGTCCAGATGACATACCAGTGGAGGCATGGAAGGGCATAGGGGAGGTGTCGGTTGATTTTCCGATGAGGTTGTTTAATAGAATATTAGACACGAACAAGATTCCTGATGAGTGGAGGAAGAGTGTCCTGGTACCAATCTATAAGAAGGGCGATGTACAGAGTTGTAGCAACTACAGGGGGATAATGTGGTTGAGCCATACGATGAAGGTTTGGGAAAGAGTAGTTGAAGCCAGGTTGAGACAGGAAGTGGAGATTTGTGAACAGCAGTATGGTTTCATGCCGAGGAAGAGCACCACAGATGCAATATTTGCCCTGAGGATGCTGATGGAGAAGTACAGGGAAGGTAGGAAGGAGCTACACTGTGTATTTGTGGATTTAGAGAAGGCTTATGACAGGGTGCCAAGAGAGGAATTGTGGTTCTGTATGAGGAAGTCAGGGGTTGCAGAGAAGTACGTTAGGTTGGTTCAGGACATGTATGAGAATAGTACAACAGTGGTGAGGTGTGCAGTTGGACGGACAGAAGACTTCAAGGTGGAGGTAGGACTGCATCAAGGATCGGCCCTGAGCCCCTTCTTGTTTGCTATGGTGATGGATAGATTGACAGATGAGGTCAGACAGGAGTCGCCCTGGACCATGATGTTTGCAGATGACATTGTGATCTTTAGTGAGAGTAGGCAGCAGCTACAAGAAAACCTAGAAAGGTGGAGGTCTGCACTAGAGAGAAGAGGAATGAAGGTCAATCGTAGTAAGACAAAGTACATGTGCATAAATGAAAGGGAGACCAGTGGAACGGTGAGGTTACAGGGAGCAGAGGTGTCGAAGGTACAGGAATTTAAGTAACTAGGATCAACAGTGCAGAGCAGTGGAGATTGTGGAAGAGAAGTGAAGAATAGAGTGCAGGCAGGATGGAACAGCTGGAGAAAAGTGTCAGGAGTGATTTGTGATAGAAGGGTGTCAGCTAAGGTAAAGGGAAAAGTTTACAGAACAGTTGTGAGACCAGCCATGATGTACGGTCTCGAGACACTAGCAATTGGCAAAAGACAGGAGGCAGAGTTATAGAGGTGGCTGAATTAAAGATGCTGAGATTCTCCTTAGGAGTGACAAGGATGGACAGGATCAGAAATGAGGTCATCAGAGGGACAACTCAGACAGGAAAGTTTGGAGAAAAAGTGAGAGAGGCCAGACTGAGATGGTTTGGACATGTACAGAGGAGGGACAGGGGATACATTGGTAGGAAAATGTTAGAGATGGAGCTACCAGGTAGGAGACAGAGAGGAAGGCCAAAGAGGAGATTCATGGATGCCGTGAGGGAAGACATGCAGGTAGTTGGAGTCAGAGTAGAGGATAACAGGGAAAGATGGAAATTAATGACTCGCTGTGGCAACCCCTGAAAAGGGACAAGCCGAAAGGAGAAGAAGAAGAAGAAGATTTTGGCAAGCATCATGGAAATTGACATCTATGATTTGCTTTCGTGGGCCACATAAAATGATGTGACGGGCCAGATCTGGGTCCCCGGGCCTTGAGTTTGACACCTGTGATTTAGCTGATTTAACATAAATCATTTGAGATTGGAATTATTTTGTATGTTATGTATGTACTTAATTAACCAGGGGTGGCCAACCAGTCAGAGACTAAGAGCCAAATTTTTTACTGTGTTAGTGCAAAGAGCTACATCTTACACATGGGCATCCCGCACGCACGCACGCACGCACGCACACACGCACGCACACACACACACACACACACACACACACACACACACACACACACACACACATGCACGCGGTTGCCCAATCATGCACTCGCGCACATATGCACGGATGACACGATGAGCAACAGCCGGAACGGCCCCAACATGAACGAAAGACAAACACACAAATCTTTTTTTCCCCCCACCCATTTCTTCTTCCCACCCCTTGCGGTCGACTTGGGACTAGTCCACTGGCTCCCGGTCGATTGTGATCGACATATTGGGCACCCCTGCCTTAAAATTAGAGGTAATTCGCTGACTAGCTTAGCGCTTAGCGCCGTTGTTTGCACATGAGCGGTGATTGAGTCATCTGATTGATTGCCCTCTATGTCAATCAAGTAACGGGATTGATGATAGGCTGACGTAGTGCGTTCTGTGTATTTAGCGCCTTTGTTTGAATGGCAGCGCCACTGCCGAGGTGTTTTCGACCTTGTCGTGTGAAAGCCCGGGAACCGCATTTAATTAGCCAAAGAGCCGCATGTGGCTCGCGAGCCGCGCATTGGCCACCCCTGCAATACACCCAAGTCCAAATGACATTATGACATAAGCATAATGGAGTACACGAAATTGATTTTTTTTTTTTTTTTTAATTAATGTTGTATGGTGGAGTTGTGTGTCAAACATTTGTGACACTTGGACGGACACACCAAGATCACCGTTATGTATGGATGTTTTTGTTCATTTTTTTTAGATCCACAAAAAAACAGCTGCTAAATCCACATGAGGCCAACTCAAGACAAACATTTTATACAAGCTTTTCTACACACAATTCAAGTCACTACAAGATTTTTTCCAACGCTATTTCCACTTTGGAAAGATGGTGTGAACTGCGGGCAACATTGCTCATTTCCAATGCATAAAATCCTCCAGGAACATTGGGTTTCAAAAGTTTGCATCAGGAAGGTCATTTGTTGAGCGAAACATGTCTCTCGGGTAGTTGAGAAAACCACATTGTGCAAAGCAGAGCGTGTGCATCCAATTCATAATAGATGCATTTCAGCACCATTGCCACATTCGTGGCCAGACCTCTTGCCGCCACTCTCAATAGCAACACAGAAGTTTCCAGCATGATATTCATTTTGGCAGGTGCCTCAAAGATGCAATGGCCCCCTAAATCTGGGCTGCTGGATCACAGTTAAACGGTATGGCTACGAAAGCGCATGCTCTGGGTATAGAAATGTTTTATCCATCCATCCATGATCTGAACCTCGTTGTGTTATTCTAATAGCAGAATTGCCGAGGACATGTAGAATTTACTGTCAAGATCTCAATAAAAAGTGTGGTTGCTGACAATTGTGTCAGTTCTTTATGTTTGGGTAGATTCTTAGACATCATGGTATGTTTGAATCGGGGCAACTGGACTCTTCTTGTCTGTTGAAAGTGTTCTGTTTTTTTCTTGTTTTTTGAAAATGTTCAAAAATTACTTGGACAGTTATGCTATTTAGATAACATTTTGTTATGAATAAAATAAGATGGCATGGATATTAAAGCTTGGTTTTATGATAAAGCACTGATTCAAAATAAATCAACAATCTGGTTATTTATTGTATTTGAATATTTAACAATTGGTGAATATGTAATTTTTTTTCTTCTATTTTTCCCCGGAGCAATTACAATGGGCGTCAATTATAGTGGATTTTCGTTTTTGCGAGCCAGCCCTGTTCCTAGCACCTGCAAGTAGCATGGGCCGAGTGTACGGCAATTTGTTTCCTCTAATGCTGTTTTTAAAATGACTTGAGTGGTGTAATTATACTACATAATTACGGTAAACCCAAACTGGAATTTATTGTATTTGTTTTTTATACAATACACTGCTATTTGTCCTTAAAAACATGTAGCCCCCCGAAAAAAGTGCTGTTTTTTGGGGGGCTGAAACGGATGAAGAGAATTTCAATAAAGAAGTTGATTTTGATTAGTATCCTGAGTTATACCTAAGTCAAGGCACCACTGTACTTATAGAAAATTGAAAATAAGCAATTCCTTCAATGAGTGCACTGTGCACAATAACAGTATTGTGGCATGTACTCGGTGTTTTTTGAAAGGTCTCTCTTTGAGTCTTTACTCGTGTAACTAGACAACAAAGGAGGTAATGTCACTCGAACACATGCGATTCTCCGAGTGACTGGACCCGCTTGTCTGTACACCTACGGTTGCGCAAATGTTGGTTTGAGGGCGAGAGGTGGATAGGCGCGCACATATGGAAAGACAACGAGGCGGACGGGCGATTTAGATGGCTGCCTTACACGGATATCGGATCTACCTCTTTGCTCTATGGCTTGGATCAGGCTGACGAGGGCGGCGGGAGCTGTCTCCGCTGGTGTGAACTGCTCACTCAGGTCGGGCACTGAGGCAGCTGAAACAACAAGACAAATCACAGTTATACATCCACCACGGAGTCTCCCGAAAGTCATGGGGGTTCTGTGGGATTGGCAGCTCACAGTATACGTGGGATCATTTCAGCAAAGGCCAGCATATTTTTTCATTTTAGCCTGTTCCACAAAAAGCACACCTGTCCACCTAAACCAGGTGAAATAAATACGACACTCAAATAAATGTTCAGTTCTTCAAAATGAAACACTTTCCATGTTTTACACTTCAATTTTAAATATCACTGAACTGTACTTGGGCAATGAACGTTTCACATGTCATTAGAGAGAGTGTGGTCCTTGTACCATACTTTGCAAATCACCGACCTAAACTTTGTCCTCCTTTAGGCTTCTTTTCACGGAAATCATTTGTAACAAAACTTTTGATTGCATCTCAAGATATCATTCCAGTTATGGTTCATGTTGCATCAGACTCCGGAAAAAAAAAATAGTTGTGAATGCACCTTTTGTTGACTGGCAATAAAATCAATTTTGATTTTGAGTCCAATAACTTTGCTTGAAATAGCATGAAAAAAAAAAGTTCAAAGTGCATGACAAAAATAAGACAATTATTCGAGTAGTATCGTGGGCAAGCTTGTGAGCCACTGGTCATGCTGAAGACAGAAATGGGACTTGTGATGGGAGCAGTGCCCAACTAAAGCCAGCAGAAAGCTATCTTAAGAGTCCTGATGCCGATGCAAAATTATTTTGTTGAAATAATGCTCATAATCAGCCCCTGCTTTATCATTCATACAACCCAGACTGTGTGACGAGCAGAAAATCGCTTTTGGGAGGTATCCTCACATCTTCAAAATCACTATCCATCCATCCATTATCCGATTCGATTATCCTCACGAGGGTCGTGGGCGTGCTGGAGCCAATCCCAGACGTCTTCAGTTGCCAGCCAGTCGCAAGGCCAACAACCATTTGCTCACACAATCACAGCTAGGGACAAATTAGAGTGATCAATCAACCTACCGTGGATGTTTTTAGAATGTGGGAGGAAACCGGAGTACCCGGAGAAAACCCCACGGGCACAGGGAGAACATCCAAACCCCACAAAGGAAGGCCGGCGGCCCGGAATCGAACCCTGGACCTCTATCCTATGAGGATAGCGTGCTAACCAGTTGACCACTGTGCCGTCTCAAAATCACTACTACCGCATTTTCTGGATTACAAATCTCTCCGGAGTATAGGTCGCAAAAGCCATATAGAAGAAAAAAAAAACATAAATCGGAGTATAAGCTGCATTTTTGGGGGAAATTTATTTGGTAAAATTCAACACGGCCCGGTAGTCCAGTGGTTAGCACGTCGACTTCACAGTGCAGAGGTACCGGGTTCAATTCCAGCTCCGGCCTCCCTGTGTGGAGTTTGCATGTTCTCCCCGTGCCTGCGTG